GATTTGCTTTGGAACTACTCTTATTTCGCTGCAATCGTGGAAGAGATCTTCCCTCTCCACGGTTTAAGGCTCTCTCACCCAATCTTAACCATCTGGGTCCTACACCCGAAACCCGGTGTCTCACCGATGTCAGACCTTTCAAGCCGCAAAAGAAATTCACGACCCAGCTCCTTCGCCCCCAGCAGTTCCAAGCTTGTGTCTGAGCTGTTCCAGGGAGGAGACTTCTTGACCGCCTCCTGATCGAGGAGCAGCGAGCCTTAGTGGGCGCTGGAAGTCCCGTGCCGGCGTGGTCCGCGACATCATGTGACTTCAAGATACAGGCAAGGCGAGGAGCTTGGGTGCTGGATGGTCCCCTTCGCTTTAGCTTCAGCATGGATCTTGGGCATGAAGGTAATCGGAATACCCGGCATTGGCCACACCTGACGACTAGACGCGAAACGCGCACGGATCGCCCAAACAGCCTGCCAAGTGAAGCGTCCATGGTGCAGAGGGGGCTGAAGGGCCGCAGCCAAGTTGCTACCAGCTCTGGCCCCGCGCTCAATCTCAACGATGCCTCTGCGCTCGCGCCGATCTTGACGGCTTCCTGGAACACATCGGAGCTCCAGACGGTATGAGACGGGAACCCCACTGGGGTAATTCGTCCTTCTTCGAACCCGGTGTATTACAGTATAAAAACAGTCTTTTCTACAGTACAGTTATAGTATATCTTTCTTTTTTCAGTATATTCTCCGAACCCGGCCTCATGCTTCACGCCGAGGCTGTTAACGGTAACATCCGTCTCGCCGTTCTTGTTGGCGGTGACCGTAGCAGAGATCTGGAACTCCACTTCGTTCGACATGTCGATGGTTCCGGTGAGGACACCCTTTCCAACCAGCTCTATAACCATCTGAAGTGATATCATGATGCCTGGGCTAGCATCTGCAGCAGGTGCCAAGAGTGGCTGCTAGTCTGTAGGGTTGAGGGATTGAAGGCCAGCAAGCTTGCGTGCTGCCTGCTGGAGCTAGTTTCATCGCGATTTGAGCATCTTACCCATCAAGTCGAGATGCAGAACCCGCCTGCACAAAACGTCTTCGTGATAGGCCCCCCATCTTCGGGGCCCGGAAAGCCTGAATCAGTGTTGGGGCGCAATAAACATGCACATGCACTGCTTCGGTGTGCTTTCAGGCGCAGCCAACAGCGGCCCGGGAGCCTCGTCTCAGCTTGTAGCTGCAGCTGCCCTGCCCCGTGACGAGTGTATCGTAGGAGCCCCGGACATTTCCGCTGATCGAGATCCTAGGCTGGCTCAACAGCCCTCAGCCCGCAGGGATTAGAGAGAGGGCTTGTGCTCGCCTTCAGTCCACGCTTTGTCTATACTTGAGTGCTATTTTGCAGGCTCAAACTTAACATCCTGCCACAACACCACTCCTGGTCGGTACGGGGTCGCCATGACCCCACTTACAGTACCTGCCTTGAGGACCTTGTCCTGTATCGGAAGGCGAGTTTTTCTCAAGCTGAACTCAAGATGATAGTAGCACCCTGGGAAACAACAACACCAAGAACAAGGCCCGGGATCACAGTGTCACCGTTGTCGTGAACGGTGGCGGTGATATCTGGGCTCCACTGCGTGACGCCATC